AACATCATAGAAATTTATAAGACAGGAAAATAATAATAGACTGCAAGAATTGGAACACGATATTATAGCCTAGAATAATGTCAAATCCATAATTAAATGTAGCATCATGCTATAACCATCAGTCGCGGTATAATGAACATCATTTCACTTTTCTGCTCTCTCATACATGTATAGATATGATCGTTATTGTAAAATGCATTATCAAATTGGTCACCAAAAACTTCCCATAAGTAAAATAAAATATATAAACGTTGATAGAAAGGCCAGTAAATAATCAATAACGCTAGTTTAATTCCCTTAATCTAGCTGCTAATAAGTAGAATCTTTTAACTTTTTCTTACATGTACACCAATATTTAATATTAATCATTCGCAAATCTAAATTATTGTCAGTCTGATGATTCAAATATTAATTACTTTGATGGCATTATTCAAGAACTTGAAGGTCTAATAAAGAACTATTTCAATCTCAAAACCTTACGTACATGTCAGTACTCTTACTGATTAGCTAACGATGGAGAAGCTTTAATCAATCTTGCACTAATATTAACTTCAAATATTGGATCTACTGAATAACGGATTATGTTAAAACTGATATCTCTCAGAATAGTCTAATACAAGTCTCTTCAATAAGCTAATGCTGAGTTTATACAGCATTTCCACAGAGTATCATAGATACAGAACAAGATTTTACAACTTGTCCTGCATTATCTATTAATTCATAAATTGTTTTAAGCTGTAGATATTTCCTTAAATCAGACTGTTATTATCATAACTTTGTATTTAGATAGCTCGATTATTCAGTCTAACTTGTTTTGAAGCGAGATGGATCTTCATACTATATTTGCTATGATAAGATATTTAACTAAATGATTAAATGTAATTCAATAGAATATCTGCTATATTATATACTCCCTGACTCTTTCGTCGTAATTACTATACTTTACTAATAAACGTACTACTCATCCTCGTTTTAAATTAAAAATAAAGATAGTACAGAATTAATCGGTAATTTTAGTAATATGCGTATGATATTCTACTTTAATTGATTTTAGTTACAGCAATTGATCTAGATATAGTAAGGATACAGGTTTATGATCATGAGTTAAATTTAATAGATAAAGGCTGTGGAATTGAATGAATATCGGTTTTCATCCTATTAACAGCATTAGGAACCTCATCTAGTGACTATTCATTAATAAGAAAATATTCTACGTATCTTATGTCAGTAGTTAACAGACAATATTTAGATATCCGTAACTCGTAAGTTAACATTTAATGGGTTTTTTATTTGCATATTTATGAAAAAGTACGTTGTTATTTTCCAGTTAGTTTTCGGATTCAAACTAAAGTAGTAATATGGAAAGATGCTAATTTTCTCAAGCTTTCAACAATTTTTAATTTCTTCTCGGCAATAGAAAATGTCTAGAATCTTAGTTTGCTTACTTTCTTCATATGTAAATCATATGCACGATCTTCCCATCGCTTCTGCAATAACTTGCTTGAAGGCACGAAGCTGGGTGTTGATTGTGGCATATTTCCAAATTAGAATCCAATGTAATAAGGTTTAATAATTAATTTTGGTATCTTCTCTTATTGCTATAGCTTGATGGCTATAGCTTAATTGCTACTACGATGTATTCGAATACGCTCGACGATTTGGAATTGATTTTACTATAGTTAAAGATAGTAGTTTAAGAAGATAAGATTAGAGTTATAATTACATCGGTCGTTGCATCAAAAAAATTAATCCATCCAGCACAGCTATTTGTAAAAATTAAAATATATCAATTGATCAAGTCATTTGCATTAGCAATCTAACAGACAATCATTATTAACTTCAAATGGAATTCTAATTCATATCCAAAACTGATTAATTCAGGATTGATTTGCAGTAATTATAACTTTAAATCATCATTTCCATATTTAATATAAGTTGGCTATCGGTTGATAAAGGTTGCTATGGGAATATCGTCTTCAGCAATAGAGCAAGCTTACTAATGTAACAATTTCTATCGAAAGCCAGCCTTTCCTAACATTAGCTAAGTTAAAATTTAACCAAATAGATGATATAACCGGTTCAACTTGATATTGCTTCGCTATTTAGCTTACCTTTAGACCTATCGTTTGCCAATTATTTCGATTGAGTTATAATGAGCTACCGACGGTCGTTCCCCAATTTGTCTAAACTAAGTATCACACCGTTTTGTGTACATCTTCTAAATTGATTAACAGTAAGGGTCAATTGTATGACTCATTAGGTTATAGATTGGCCATAGACTTGATTCGATAAGCTGCTGAGCTACTTTTTCCCAATACTAATAAGCATACCCAACCAGATCTTTCTACTTGTCATCAATCGACGTCAGGACACATTGTTCCGGGTAACCTAGCAACCGTGAACAGCGTTGCGATCGACAACGGAGCCATAACCAATATTAATAGGTACAATGGTTTCCTTACGTCTTAACATGAATATGAATTCTTTAATAGAGTAAACAAACCTATTAATTCGATTATCTCATATAATCATTCCGTCTTTATTACTCGAATATAGGGACAATATCAGTTATTAGCCTTTTGGTATCGTCATGCTTCCAATGATGATATTATAAATATTGTAAATGCTCGTAGAGAGAGGAACTTATATTAATAAGTATTAACCGGAATGAAATTTACAGGAATATCCAAACAAAATTAAAGCGATAACTATACTATACTATCTTGGAATTATACTGTAGTTACACAGGCAACAGTACAGGACAGACTAAATTGTATGTCAGACATTGTGTTAATTGTAAGCAGGGTTTCGATTTTCAAGATTAGCGAAAATGTATTACAGTATTTTGAACATGTAAAAAGATGCATAGATATACTATACTATTAATATACCATAGCAGTACAACGTCTTTCACTTAAATCGCACTTAAAATACCACATTATATATAATAAAAATTTTATTTTCTATGCTAGCTAGAATGAAACTTACAATAATATTACAGTATAATAATCAATTACAGTAATAAGCCAAATTGGATGCACTATACTATTGTCTTATACTAACCTTATTAATTAATAGAAAAGGATAGATATACCATACCAGCGTTTTATACTGTAACTACTGTATACAGAATGTTTTGACTAAGTTACTCAAGAAGAAATAATGTATCAAAGTATTTTAAAAATTTTACATTCAATGTTAGCTGAAATCGAAACTATTTGGAATGATAAGATTGCAAATGAAAGGTGTACCACATAATCATTTAGTTACACGATATTTTACACTGCTGTGCGGTTCGAACAAATTGTATATAAATGTTGTTATTATTTATTGTATAAATTCTAGTTTGCAACATTAGCTGGAATGGAACGTACCGGGATAATCTAACAATAATAATAGAAAATTAGATATCTTATACTGTACCACCGTCCAGTTATATTGTATCTGCGCGCATTCTTACTAAATTCTATATAAAGTGCCATGGCATATTATGTAATTATTTACTATCGATATTCTATTACACTATTAGTTGGTATTAAACTTCTCTAAATATCCCAGCAAGTAGTGAAAAAAATAATCTGACTGAATTATATCCGAAATGTTCACATTGATATTAATTGTAGGATAAAAATTTTAATAAGCAGCTTATATAGCACAATTGCAATTATGCTAACAACAACTATGATGTTACTCTTACAGAAGTGAAACATGCCAAAGGTTGCATCAACTCGACTTCATTCGCATACGATCATATTAAACCATGTATCATTTTTTTAAAATCACATTTAGTCACTGAAATGTGCAAACGAGTTAGCGAGGGAATTAATCCTTATCTATTTATTAAGACCATATGCATCTACATTATTGCTAAAGTTAAATCCAATATAGAGAAATATGAGTGGAAACTATACAATGCTTATCAGCAATATCAGAATTTCGGACGCTTATTGAACGTTAACTCACTTTTCAAAGGTATAGCTTTCAAAGACAAGAGGTAATGTCCAACTTATTTTAAGTCGATTAGATCATTCTTTCTAAGTCATTTATATTTATACATCAAATAATTTGAAGTTTCTAGCTATAGACAATATTGCACACGTTCAGTTCGCTCAGACATAGCAGTATTATATTCATGCAATTAATACTTAGCAATGTTATAACACTTGAAATACGAATGATAATTCTAAATTGGAAAATGCATGGGAGGATATCTCACGATAATGTTATAATTTCACAGATTATGTAGGAAAAATCAAAGGCAACATGCACAACTGTATTGTAGCAGGAAGTTTCTTAGCTTTATACAAATGAATATATTGCTAATCTAAACACTTTATCTGCTAGCATTTTTGGCGAACGATTAAGAGGTATGCAAACATTGCTATAGAAAACTATTTAGTAGCGATTTAAAATCTACCATGAAGCATAAGCTCAGCAAAATTTTCTTTCTCAAACTATACTAAACGAGATTTTTATCAATTTAAATCAAACAGATTTTCAAATACTAAATAATTTTTCTTGCAGTAGCCATTAAGATCGAAAGAGCAAAAATAAAATTGGATTGATTTGACGAACAAAATCGATCTTTATTTAAAAGTTTCGATGATAAACCGTCTTAAATAAGTCATATATATATATGTTACGATAAATTTTAGAAATTTACAAATATTTGTGAATCATCCCAAATCATAGGATTTACTAAACATTCGAATTTCTCATGAATGAGGGAAAAATCTTATGAATAAGTTGATAGTCCTCAGAAATCTTGAGCATCTTAATTATCGTAATATATATTTTATATACACATTATTTCCAAAAGAATTATCTTAACAAGACCCAATTCTTTAAGAATTAAGGAAATAAGATTGTTATGATATCAATTAACCATAGTCAACATATTTATTAACCGAACATGCAAATATGACGAAAGTAATACAATTATAAATTACAGCAAGCAAAACACCTCTTAATTCATATTCTAGTTAAATATAGGGATAACATTAATTACACCATGAAGCATCGTCTTTACACTTCAACATAAACCATTTTTGCATCAGGATATCGTTCGGTAAAGTATTGTAGTCGATGCTATCATCATTGGCTTTATCTTGCGTCTAGGAAAGAAAGCCAAAACATTTTAACAATATGCTACAGCAATACCGTTATCAACACTGTTATCGCTTAGATAGCACTTAATCATTGAAAAATAAGGATATCAACGTCAGTAGACAGGCTAGGTTTTATCCCATGCTTGGTATTAACTACATTGTCTTACTTAGAGTTTAGCTCGATACCCTAACCATATAATGTTGATATCTGTAATGAAAAGTTTATAAACTCACCAACGGCCTAGGAAATACTCGTCTAAAGTTTCGTCTATGAACATGTTCTAGGAATGCATCGTAAAGGAATTCCGTTTGATGTTGTTGACGACATTGTAAACAAATTTGGCATTTCTAAATTTAACAAGGCGTAAATATATCTGTCGTCAGCATACTCATCCTTCAAAAATCTAAGTTCATATTTCCTCAAGTAATTTTTTTCATCTGTATTAGGATAGTACCGATTTCACTAATGGGCATATTTTAAGATGAGCACTTACATCACTTTTACAAGCTGAACAATCGGCACCAGAGCAAATATCATAACCAACTTGAACGTCACGATAGCAGATTTTCATTATTTCTTCATCGGGCGAACTAATTTAATGATTACATTTAGAAAGCGAATTAAAATGCAATATAATTATAAAATAGTAATTCCATGCCTACAATACATTGATATTGAGGAATTACTGCATTATAAAGTGAAATTATTGATTTACGCGGGATACTAAATAAAGATCAATGTACCTTTGGACAACAGTTCGAGGAGTAAGAGATGCTACACCAATTAGACTAAGGAGATTATACATAACTTGTTCATATAGTAGCTTATTTGGTGGATGAACAGCAGATGATAAGTTCGGCGACATATTTACCTGTTAATAACATTATGACGTTTCTGTAAGTATCACTATTGAGAGTATTTAAATAGACGTGAAATTTATAGAGATTACCTCCATTAACCAGACATTCATCTTGCTATCTACTACGAAATCGAATCGAACCATTTCGAAAAAATTTCTGAAGGCAGAATGAGAAAATAATACTTCAATTGCAATATATATATAACTTTCTTCATAAGGTACTAAAGGCAGTGCATATACTATTTTTCTGAAAAAATTATCGTAGCTATCAGAAATAATACCAAGCAAGCATTTTTATTTTATAAATCATGATTTATTACAATGCATTATCTGTTGATTAGTATCATATAAACCTAACAGCTGCTGTTACCTTGTACTTTTATATCTTCTGGTCGTCGCTAGTATCTCAGCTTTCTTATTCAAATAAACCTAATTCATTGGTAATAACCCAAATAAAACTAGATCAAGCATTCATCTCATAATGAATAATAAATTTCATAAACGCTAACAAATATGCTAAACTTGAAATATGAAAGTATGCATCACATAAGATTAATTCTTCACTAGTGGTGATTTTAATAAAATTTGAAATTTGAAGTAAATTTACAAAAAATTTAAAATAAATTATAGCTGCTGTCACATCTGCATTACCTGAACGATAGCCTCATTAATATCTGCCCAAAGTTTCTTATAATTAAAGCCTTAATTTATCGAAATAGGTTACCATAGTTATTGAAGTATTACAAAATATTGGTCTTATCTGTTACAGTAAAACACATAAGCTAGAACATCCAATGATAGCATTTAATTAATTAAAACTATCTACCTTTCCGTCTTAAAAATGCATTCAACGACTGTTTGTGACTAAATTGCCCATCACTGTACATCTTCTTGAGTGAAGGAATCTGAAAAACGCTACTAATTAGTAAAGTTAAATCTTCGTTCTATTTCATAGTAACGAATACACACTTGTATTACGCATATATCAGTAGCAAACATAATATAATCTATCATTTCTTCAATACACTGCTTGTCCAGTTCATATACTGTACAAACTAACCTCCCATGTAGGAGTATAATCATCAGCCACAACATATTGCCGTGTATTAGTTACATCAAGAGGGAGGTAGTCTTTTGGACAAAATCTACGATCAAAAGCGACCATGAATTATTTCATAGAGTAAATAATTTTACTTTAAATTTAATATTTTAAACGCAAGTAATAAATTGACTTCAAAACTGCTTTCGTGTTGCAAACAGCCATACAAAGTTGATTGACTTTATTCGTATTTTCATTTGTTAATGCTAACCGAAGTAAAGCTTCTTCATCATAAACATATACTCGTAATGGAGACACAGATGTCATAACTGTATAGATTCCTATGTCAAATTTTCTTTTTATCGTTCGAGATAATAGAAAGGATAAAATTAAAGTGTTAGCGGTAAACATCATCGGTGCGCTTTCAGATATCATTTATATCATTGTATCTGATCACCTTCCATCAATTAGTAAAGGATCCATAACGTATTCTTGGACGAAAACTTTTTTCGACTTTGATGACAGATCCATTTCTATTTATATATATATATATTATACATATAAAAATATTGGATTTATGTGATTTGCATGAAAGTATTCGCACTGTCTCAGGCATATAAACGGCTAGTATACGAGTATAATACTCTAAATCGTATGTATATTATCAACTAAAAAGAAATTTACTTACAAGGATCATATCTACATCTACACAAATTTTTTGAACAAAAGTGTTTGCAACTGATACTCACCTTCAATCTTACGAATGAAAATTCCGCGATGAGCATTACTTTTTTGAACATATAACTGATTAGGTTTCAATTTAGCCTATGGCGATAATAATCACAATTAATACGGAATAATTGACTATTAACCCATACATTTAGGCTCCTAAAATATGTAATGTATTTTAAAAATAGGTACGAACATCTCTTAATAGCTTTTCTTTATCTTCTGGAATCTTGTAAGCTTTCGGTGTGAAAGAAAATCCGCTTGTGGCTAGAGAAGCTTTATTTGTTATGAACCCTGAGCCAGGAAATTTGTTAACCTTAAAAATACGAGAATCGATTATAATTTTGTGTAAAATGGATCCAAAACTCAAGTGCTGCTTTACAGCCATATTTAAATTCCACAGTATAAGCAAACCTTTTGATGAGGCTTCATTTGTCGTATCATGTTGTAAACCTTCGTTTCGGTGAATGGATACTCATGCGACCATAAAACATCCCATTTTTGTGGAAAGTCCTTTTTCATAACATAACCAACACGTTCGAAGACTTTTATAGGATGATCTAGATATCCTTTCTCGATCTTATAATAAAAGTAAAAATTCTACGCTGAAATCTGTTGTTATACTGCACTATCAGGTTCATATTTATTTGTCAAACACGCTACTTATAATTATTTATTAATTTAAAATTGCAAGCGAAGATATTAAAATGAAACGATAGCAAAAAAATAATTAATTGATTGATATTAAATATTTATAAACAAACGTCTTTTGCATGAAACCAAACCACGGGAGCAGTTTTTTTCTTTTCTTGAACGACAGCATCACCAACTCTTTCATTAACTGTTTTGATAGTTTGTTCTCTTAGCTGACCAACTAAATATCTTAATTCAAAGATATTGACTGTCATGACAGTGACGCCGATCAACAGCAGCAAGACGACAGCACGGTTATATCTCATTGACATGCTGAACATAGATAGATTTCTGCTACTACATATCTACAAATGATGAGGGAAAAATTATTTTAATATGCAAATAACGTCAAAATTAGCTGTATTAATTATTTAGTTTGAATAATCTCTTAATTTATAATTTACAAAGGGTTATTTTTATGCAGATAACTGGAACAGATCAGTTAATGTGCAAGCTTACAGAAAAAGATTGATCAAAATTTCTCGACCGTATCATGAGCACTGAGGAGATTACTTGATTTAAAAATGATAGTCAAGTAATCGATTGTTTGACTAGAACTACGTACTTTATTTTTAGAAGTTAAACAACTGTAGAAGCCTCTTGTAATATATAATGCTCATCTATGTTATCAACCAAACAATTGAAATAGAAGATAATTGACGATACCAAATACAATAATTTTACACGGCACTTTCTGATGAAATATCCGATATTCGATAGGTTGCTGTAATGAAGCTTTGTTCCTATTTCCATCGATACAGTACTAATTCATCTATTATTATTATAGTTAAGTATCGGGAATCACTATTATGTTTCTTTAATTAAAGTGTAACAAGAGCAAATCGCTTGAACTAAAACCTAAATGCCAAAATGAAATCTTTTGCAATTAGAATTCACTACCTGCCTTTTACTAACTATGAATTCATTGCAGTAAATGATCGATGTGTACTATATTGCAATGTTTTTGCAATGCACGTGAAAGAATTATTGTACTCGTATGCAATGACTACATCATATAAACAAAGCAAGGAGCAGGAGTTTCTTAACGCTTTAATAGGGATTCGATAGGTTACTATAATGAAGCTTTGTTCCTATTTCCATCGATACAGTGCTAATTCATCTATTATAGAGTTTAGTATCGGGAATCACTTTTATGTTTCTTTAATTAAAGTGCAATAAGAGCAAATCGCTTGAACTAAAACCTAAATGCCAAAATGAAATCGTTTGCAATTAAAATTCACTACCTGCCTTTTACTAACTATAAATTCATTGCGGTAAATGATCGATGTGTACTATATTGCAATGTTTTTGCAATGCACGTGAAAGAATTATTGTACTCGTATGCAATGACTACATCATATAAACAAAGCAGGGAGCAGGAGTTTCTTAATGCTTTAATAGGGATCGTTTATCAATTTTAGCCACCAATATAACAATTAAATTAAGTCATGACGCACAATTCTCATTTATAATTAATTAAAAATGAGCGAAAAGGATAAAGATCCAATGTAATGGAGTAGATATCAAAAGTGATGTCTACCCCGACAACCCAATGTCCAGATGAAATCCGATAAAGTACTACCCATTCAAAATGTATTAACGGTTAAATGCTTTGTCATTCCCTATACAGTACTTATGCACTTTACTTTATGTACGCATTATCTAAAATAATTCTGTGATAACCCGTAATGAATGAATAATTCCAAGCAAAATGTACCGGCAAAATCGTGCGGTATTATATAATACCGCGAATATCGATTTGACAACTATCCAATCCTCGAATACCGCTAGCAAACTTAACCACATTCGTATATTCCTGTATCAGGACTATCACTACACGTCTATTCCTTGCAAATAAGAGGTGCTCCGCTATCCCAATACTATATCGTTTTTTTGACTGAATCATATTCATGTCTCATGCCTACGTTAGATCCCATCAGGCCATCATCGCTCTCATTTATTCTACAGGATAGGCGATCTTAAGTTTACTACTTTCTGATATCAATAGCGTTGAATGCGTACAAATAAAGTATAACTCACATCGTTATTGTATTCTCACTCTACAAGTTTCGCCGAATCCATCCTTAAGTTCAGAATAAGCTCTACCGTCATTGATAACAAGGATAGATTGTATGCTAAGCTATTCCACAGTTCTGATAGACAAATAAAGACAGTACGCCTCTAACGAGCGGGTGTTCGACTAGTTACCGTCATATCTAATTGGCTATACAGTCATTCTATTTACAGTTGCCTATTCGTATCAACTATAAACTGTCTGCACTCTCTTGTCATTTATTTACGTACAGTATTTGGACTAATCAAGTTAGCACTAGGAATCAACCTACCTTGGAAAACATATGTTCTATGCTTGCTGTGATTATCTTGGCAGCCTTTCAAAAAAACTCTAGTGGTTGATCAGTAGCAAATCAATGAAGTGGTAGGTCCGCTGTCTGCTAATTTGGCATTCTCTCTTTTGCTTTTATATACAGTAGTACGGATTTAAATGTTTGAGCCTTTGCGATGTTGGCGGCGATCAGTGACAGTCACCGTTCCCGTAGTAATAAATAACAGTCCAAGTTATTGTTTTAAGCAGCCTATCGGCTTTCGTTTAGCTCACAATTAGTCAATGCCGCTACCAGTGGAAGGCACTACAGTGTACAGTGTACAGTACAGTACAGTGCACAGTACTGTACATCCTACCGTTATTTCACACCGTACTCACTGAGAGACTTTTGGAAGAGAAATTCTATTGTAATCATAAGTTCTCTTTTTTATGGGAAATTGCTGCACTACAGTGTACAGTGTACAGTACAGTGCACAGTACTGTACATCCTACCGTTATTTCACACCGTACTCACTGAGGGACTTTTGGAAGAGAAATTCTATTGTAATAATAAGTTCTCTTTTTTATGGGAAATTGCTGACTCGTGGACTCAATGACTTACTTGTGTACAGCCTGACTACCCCATCCCAGGTCATGGATTTCTGCTTCACTAATAGTAAAAAGAAAGAACGACAGGAAGGGAAAGTGGCCTTCAATGCAAAATCATGCAGAGGCCTATCATTTTTCTGGCCATTCAACGACTGTACTGTACTGTATATGCTGTCAAAACCAACCTAGTTAAAGCACCGATGAAACTGTGTACTAAACGTGCAGTTAGGTATTGCATCCGGGTTAGCAGCTACAGTAATATGGATCTCAGTCGTGTACCGTTGCAGAGATGCGATACACTTGAAATGACCAGTAAAACAATCAGCCTTGATATTTTTTGAGTTGTCTGTACTATATTCAAAAGAAAGAAAGAAAGAGAGGAACGGAAATGTGCAATCCCTGGCTTGGCCTGGAACTGGCATGGCAGGGATTCCCCGGTGCATGACTGTTTTCACCATTTTACAGTACTATGCTATACTGTACAGTACAGTACTGTAATGTCCTTCCAAATGAACTGTTACCAGGGACTACAGTAGACCAATCATGAATTCGCTGTAATTCACTTTCACTCCCTAACTTCCTATACTGTACAGATCAAAATTGTATACTGTATTATCAGGGTTCATGTAACTGATATACTGTATATATGACATATACAATTTTGAAAAAATCAAAATTTTGATCTGTACAGGAAGTTGGGCCTAAACCCTCTCCCGCTGACGCAATCATCCATCATCTTTCTAGCTTCTAGTAGCTTCTACAAGATGGCCGTGCACCAGTCAATATGTGCAATGTACATTGTACAGTACAGTACATACACAGTAGAGTGCAGGTGCTACCAGGTGCTACTAGTGAACAATGAATAGCCTTACAGTACTGTACAGTACTGTACTGTATAGTATTGGGGTGGGATTATACAAACTGACTGTATACACTGTACTGTACACTGTACACTGTACAGTACAGTTCGTCGACGTCCGATCTGACAACGAACGTACTGTACTGTACATACCGAACGTCCAATCGCTCGACGTCTACAGTACTATTGAGCTGTGTGTTGAAATGTTGAACTGACTCATTGGTCATTTAATGAATTCATGAATGACGTCAGTACAGTACAGTACAGTTTGTACTGTATGCGCCGTACAGTTGTACTGTACTGTACTGTACTGTACTACAGTACAGTATACTACTGTAGACTGTGTACTGTAAATCAAAATTTCGCGGAATGTTCTAGAAGGCATTATCCAACTGGCATAAAAACCTGCGTATCCACGAGGTCGTAGGTACTTCGCGCGATTCAATCGATTCAGTGGCAGGCCTTCGCACGTGTAACTGTGCAAAGAAACCAATCCTCTTTGATTCAGTGTGCAAGTTTTCTTATTCTTCAGAAAGAAAAAATATTCAACCAGCAGTAATGGCAGACGGTGAAACTATGCAAGAAGTCGAAGTAGAAACCTTCGCCTTTCAAGCTGAAATTGCTCAGTTGATGAGCCTAATCATCAATACTTTCTATTCGAACAAAGAAATCTTTCTTCGTGAATTAATTTCAAATTCTTCTGATGTAAGTGTAACGCTTTCTAAGGCATAGACTTCGGTGAAGAGTTTAGCTCTAACAATAGCTATAGTTACCTCTGGTACTCTAGTAATGCAATGGAAACTTATTGTAATACGACTTTGAAAGCAAGTTTGCTCAATTAAATTGTAAAATGATGTAGGGATAAGGTGCATTTTTTAAGAAGGGCTCGCTATCAACTTATGATTACTGAACACGAGTGAAATGCTGTCCAATGCTAATTTCTGACTCTAGACTGTCCTAAAATTTGAGTCAACTACACAATCCAAGCCAGCATTTTTATAGTGTTGTACAGTCTGCATTGATGAAGCTTCAATAGTACTTTAAACTTAATACACCATTGTAATGTATGAATGAGTATTCCATACAGCACATTTCAAATTATTGATGCCTACGGTAGAGTGAAGTGACGGTAAAAGATATATGCAGTGACCCGTTTCTGACTGTACAGTAGATCGTTCGCTGAAACGACTTCTTGATGTGGGCATTACTGTATAAGAAAAATTCTAGCTAAAACTATCATACTAACATATTCATAATTTCTGGGATAGGCTATCGACAAGATTCGGTATGAAAGCTTGACTGATCCATCCAAATTAGAATCCTGTAAGGATCTATTTATCAACATTTATGCTGACAAAGACAGCAAAACCTTGACTATTCGTGACTCTGGTATTGGAATGACGAAAGCAGATCTTATCAACAGTCTTGGTACTATTGCCAGAAGTGGTACAAAAACTTTCATGGAAGCTCTACAGGTAGGCCTAAATGTTGATTTCGATAGGTTATTTTACATCAATTTATGTCATGATTAAACTAAATCGTAATGACGTTTTTAGGCTGGTGCTGATATATCTATGATTGGTCAATTTGGTGTCGGTTTCTACTCAGCATATCTGGTTGCCGAAAGAGTTACAGTCGTTAGCAAAGTAAGCTTATAATTTCAGTTTCAATGTTGATTTGGCATTGTGTAAGCATCTTGTAGCTAATTATTATAATATGATGTTGTAGCATAACGATGACGAACAGTATATTTGGGAATCGGCAGCTGGTGGTTCTTTCACAATTCGTCGTGATGATGGTGAACCTCTTGGTCGTGGTACAAAAATCATCTTGCATATGAAAGAAGAGCAAATAGAATATTCAGAAGAGAAACGTATAAAAGAGATTGTCAAAAAGCACAGTCAGTTCATTGGATATCCCATCTCTCTACAGGTAGATGAAAAATGTTATATAGAATATTTACGAAAAATTTACGACCTAACAAATTCGATCATATTTCAGGTAGAAAAAGAGCGTGACAAAGAAATAAGCGATGATGAAGAAGAAGAAGAAGAAAAAAAAGAAGAAACGGAAAAAGAAGAGGAAGGGGAAGACGATGATAAACCCAAAATTGAAGAAATTGACGAAGAAGAAGAGAAAAAGAAAGCTGAAAAGAAGAAGAAAACAATAAAAGAAAAATACAATGAAATGGAAGAACTAAATAAAACTAAACCAATCTGGACCCGTAACCCTGACGATATCAGTCAAGAAGAATACGGAGAGTTCTATAAGAGCTTAACTAATGACTGGGAGGATCACCTTGCAGTGAAACATTTCTCCGTTGAAGGACAACTTGAATTCAAGGCCTTGCTTTTCGTCCCGAAACGTGCTCCATTTGATTTATTTGAAAACCGCAAAGTGAAAAACAATATCAAATTGTATGTCAGGCGTGTATTTATAATGGATAACTGCGAAGACTTGATCCCAGAGTACTTAAATTTCGTAAAAGGTGTTGTTGATTCTGAAGATTTGCCTCTCAATATCTCCCGTGAGACGTTGCAACAGAACAAAATTTTGAAAGTTATCCGAAAGAATATTGTAAAAAAATGCGTCGAGCTTTTCAACGAATTATCCGAAGACAAAGAATCTTATAAGAAATTTTATGAACAATTTTCTAAAAATTTGAAACTTGGAATGCACGAAGATAGTACCAACAGGAAGAAGATTGGTGACTTACTCCGCTATCACACTTCTTCCACCGCAGATGACGTAACATCTTTGAAAGACTATGTCTCTCGTATGAAGGAGAATCAAAATCAAATCTACTATATCACTGGTGAAAATAAGGAACAGGTGGCTAATTCCGCATTTGTCGAAAGAGTAACTAAGAAAGGTTTCGAAGTTATCTATATGACGGAGCCTATTGATGAATACTGCGTACAACAGCTGAAAGAATATGATGGCAAGAACTTAGTTAGCGTAACGAAAGAAGGCCTTGAGCTTCCTGAAGACGAAGATGAAAAGAAGAAACGTGAAGAAAACCAAGCAAAATACGAAAGTCTATGTACGATGATGAAAGAAATTTTAGATAAGAAGGTCGAGAAAGTAACTATCTCTCAGCGATTGGTCTCATCCCCCTGTTGTATTGTCACGAGCCAATACGGCTGGACTGCAAACATGGAAAGAATCATGAAAGCCCAAGCTTTACGTGATACAAGTACTATGGGTTATATGGCTGCTAAAAAGCATTTGGAAATCAATACGGATCATTCCATCATCCAAACTCTACGTAATAAAGCCGATGCTGACAAAAATGACAAATCTGTCAAAGACTTGGTTATGCTTTTATACGAAACTGCTTTATTATCATCTGGTTTTTCTCTTGATGAACCCCAAACACATGCTAACCGCATTCATCGTATGATTAAGCTTGGTCTCGGTGTTGACGATGACGATGCTCCTGCTGAGTCTGCTGAAGCTTCAGAAGAAATGCCTCCTTTGGAAGACAATGATGATGCTTCACGAATGGAAGAAGTCGATTAACTCAAGAAGCGCAATATGCGTAACATTTGCCGGAAAAGCAAATCTGGCTTCATTACTAACAAAACAGTTTCTATAATTATAGTTATATCATATAGGAATTACCATCGAGAAATACGAATTTGAAATTCTGTCTACTGTAATTGATTTTTGAGCGCTTGCATATAAGTTAACCTCTGTACTTTATAACTAAAATTGAATAAAGTTCTAAATTAAAAACACTAGATGTTTCTTATTGCCTGCGGTTTGTAGCCTGAAGTTTGACCTGATAGAGTTGGATATAATGTTTAGTGTAAATACCATCCTATCGAATTCATTATAAATATCACAATATCAGCAATAGCAATACTGTAAGCCAGAATATTTTGCTGTACTTCATTCAATAATCCGCATATGCGCAGAACAAATGGTTGATGATAAGCAAATTCGAGCGATATCCGTTTTAAACTTGCAAGCCAGGACGTACGAAATTGACGTAACTACGTAGTACTTACTGTACTTGGTGAAATGTGATACTTGAAATAGACAACTTGATATATACGGGTATATCACAAGTACACGTGTTCGCGGTTTGGTTTAGCTTTGATTTTAAGTCGATATTTTATTAATAGTAAGTTATACTGTAAGCTATTGATAACAGTATGTACTGTATGTGTACAGTAAAGTACGCGTTTTTCAGAAAAGTTATTCATAAGTACTACTGTACCGTAATAGTAGAGTACTATACTGTACATACAGTATAGCCTTGGCATATGCCGCATAACACATAATACTCCGCCGACTAGAAGGAAATTTACCCCTAATAAATTTACTTCAAGTCGGCTAGGTAGAGTATTACGAACGTGGACCATTCAACTAGTAGTGATAGTTTATTAATTACTATACTGTACACCAACTTAACTTAACCTTAACCACGGTACATTGTCGTTGTATATTGCTACTGTAACATCATTATTGATGGTAGTTTGCCATAGCTAGCGAAACATGCGAGATACTTTTAAACTCATTCTACAGGAAAACATATCTATCAAATAATACTGTACAGTACAGTACATACGCACATTGGAAATAAGAAATGAAAACCGATGTCAAAAAAAAAAATAATAATCATACAGTACAGTTATTAATAGAGGTAAAATAAATAAATTAAGAACAAGAAAAATTGCCACGTACAGAAACAGTACTGTACCATTTAGTGTGCTTTTTGCAGAAAAGTATAAGAAAGGCACAGTACGGAAGAGTACAGTACTGTACTGTAGAAGGGTAGTGTGTATCCGCTTTGGGATACAGTACTTCGCACTCTACCGTACTGCACAATCTGTACGTAATGAGACCCTGACAGCATAATAAGTGCTATGTAATGAGCGAATGTTGCATACCAAGCATTGTAGTGCACAAGAAGTGGCTTCTCGTCCTTCTAAATTTGGATGAGTAGGAAATCTGCAAAGAAAACGCTTTATGATTTGATATTGCTGATAGAAATCGTCTGCCTTGACTACTATTTGCACAAGGTGTACTTGTCTACTTTATTAATTAATGATACCTATGCCTTGAATTATCAACTCCGCAGAGCATAGACTGTCTAATAGAAAGGGAAAATTATTTTTTGCCTTCCTTCTTACGGGTGCCAAATTACACATCAATGCCTAGCTTTTGTTAGGCGATCCAAACTGATCAAGAAGGAAAGGAATCAAACGTTATTCTTGGTTCTATCAAATTGTTATAGTATTGATGATGGCATCCAGCAGTAACGGCAATAATCAAGAAGAAATTAAATGCGAATTCCTCGTCAAAGAAGGTCGCTATAAAGTATCGCCATTATCTGCGTCCTACAGCTACCAAAAAACTACTTACCAGACAAACCACGGTAATCCGGTCAAACTTTCCATGGTAACTTCCAATTGCGAAGGAGGCCTTTATGGTAGATTAGTCTATAACTATGGTCGTGAGTTATTCACTTTCGCATATAAAGAAAGTACTCGCCAGGTATAGTTGTATTTCTCATCCATGCGTCTGATATGATTAGATATTTGCTTTACATCTACTTGACACAATATTATTCATCATTTTGCCTTTCCTTCTCGATATTCAATTCATTTTGAACGATTGTACACTTTATGCTCATACTGTGACCCACCTTCTTGACGTGAGCAAGTCTAATCAGTCCCCAAGCTTAACAGCAATCCAATTCTACTCAATACATTGACGATGCTTATTCGCGTTACCTGCCATAAATACATTTCATGATTTTGTAATTGACGTAATAGACGTATCATTCTGAATGCGGTAGTGCTTCCTCTAAAATAAAGAAAGGCCTTTGACCAAAATGCAGTATTACCCTATACCGTCAGGTCTACCTATACGGATTATTTGCAATAACATGCGATACTAGTGATTTTTGTACATTTGTTATTTTTAATTCCTCTCATATGTCATTACATCATCATTTCTACATTAAAGTACAGTATAATATTAATAGATATTTCAGTAATCGATAATTCATATCCTTAACAATTGTCGCTCATACCAGATGCTGTACAGTTGACTATACAAATCGTATTGCTATTACTTCCATCTAATTGAAAGTGATTTTAGAGTAACGGTATAGAGGAAGGCGATAACGAATATGTTATTAATACTACTATGATGGGTACGCGTACACTACTTATAGTCGTCTATAGCAATAACCTTACTACTAACCTTCTTAACAACAATTTAAGTAAATTTTAACTTTACTTTGAACTCTCCATAAATTTCAATTACATAAACTAGAATAGCTATTCCAACAATTCCCCATATTTAGAAAAAGCTTTCCAATTTCACTGACGGTAAATCGACTTTCTAACAAAGTACTGTAATTAAAACCACGACTCCTAAAGCCTCAAATTACCCCAGTAATCGTACGTGTGTATTTCACCAGCGTGACAACATAAATTTCTCTACTAAATATATTCGTTATACGTGTACACAATTTCGCGTATTTGTACTAATATAGTAGACTTTTTTCGGTACACCTATGTCTTAACCGCCGTTAGAATTCAGTGCATATAGAGCAAAGTTGTCCCTAATAACGCTGTTGTATTTGTTATTGAACAATTGTACCCTAAAATCAACAGCTAAGTTGAGGGACTACTGTAAGTGTTACTACGATATCATAACATTGCGTCTACAACTTTGTATCTGGCATGAAAATATGAGATACAATACAAAATATACATAGTATCCCTACCACAAAACTGCCTGAATTACAAAATTATCCCTGGTCCTTGTAATATTTTAGCCAATCTAGTAGTAATTCACTTACTGATAACTGACTTCTAGCGATAGGAATCATGAATTCAATTTCTTTGCTAATAGTTATAATTATAATTAGTAGTTAACGTTTTAATGAACCATCGTTATATTTACGTGATATTTTTACCATTAGCAGGATACCGATAACAAAATCTTAGATAAAAAGGCATACAAGAGCGCGATACCTTTATGCCATGACTTTAACTTAATCACCAGAAGCCCAGATACCTTAAATTTAATCGTCGGTTTCAATACTGGCCAAATGCAGCTAATCAACGTTGTCAAATATGAAATTATGAAAAACTTTAATGAGAGCGTAAGTGCTACTTATTTAAAGTTCGTCAATATTTTTAATCATTTGAAGGTATCTATTCTATGTGCTGATCTTTTTGTAGCCTAATTGGACCAATACTTTATCTTTGTCCTACAGTATATTATTCTTAACTTATACATTCATAGTTTGCAATACTCTCATGATATCTACAGTATAATACTAGCCGCTTTAGTGGCCTAGTTATATCTTATATACTTGTTGAGTGGGACCTAAAAAATATAAATTATCTCTAGTATCTATTTTTAAGAATTAAGTTGTAATTGCAATCGGTAACAAATAAACAGGTGTGATTGTGTTAATGAAAATACTTAGTTACTAGAAATTTATGCAATTCTATGTCTTCGCTTATTTTAAAACTGACACGATATGATTTAAATGTAGTAACATTCCGTAGTTAACAGAATATCTTGATATTTAGCCAAGATAACATTGTAAACATTATAAGAAATAATGACACTAAATAATCATGACCATGCTTATAAATCGTATTTTTACAGTACAAATTAGATACATAAAATCGCTTTAGGCATAACCTATAGACTGTTGTAATGATTACAAAGAGCAGAGTCAATCATAGCAACCTTGATTGTTTGATCGTCACAATTATCATAAAAGTGATAGAAAATTTGTATTATAGTTGCATCTTAAAAACTTAGAATCAAATTCTTACATCATTTTAAACGGATTTACTATAAATAATTAGTTGTGTAATAGTTTTTTCCGTGTATACCAGTATACATATATGAAAATACTCTAGCGATCCTGGGAAATGAAGGCATGCTGTAGATGCCTGGCAGCTATCTGATACAGAATTAGCTATAGCTTGCTAATAATTTAATTTATATTAAACTCAAATACTGAAAAAGTGGCTTAAATTTTATTTATTACTATATACTAACGGTAATTTCTTATTTAAATATTATGCAAATAAGCTTACCTTAGTTTCACCGTCTTAAAGATTTTGGCTGCTTAAATGAGATGCATTAGGTAATAATTTGTTTTCTAATTTCTGTTTCAGCGTAATATTGATAATAGTAAAATAACATGTATTAAATGGATACCAGGAAAGGACAATTTATTTATAGCATCTTACTTTAGTGGAAATATATATATGTATGATGATAATTTGCCGTGCAGCAATGGACCTATAACATATTCAGTTGTTAAAGAAAGCGATGACTTCAGTGTATATACAAGCAAAAGCAAATTGCAGCAGCGTAATCCTATTTATAAGTGGACCATTGGTAAAGGTGCTGTGAATGACATGGCTTTTTCGCCAGACTGCCGTCACTTAGCCACGGTGAGCCAAGATGGATTTATGAGAGTGATCAATTACGAAACAAATACTGTTATATCAACTATGAAAAGTTACTTTGGAGGATTACTGTGTGTAGCTTGGAGCTCAGATGGCAAGTGCGTCGCAACTGGTGGTGAAGATGATCTTGTTACGGTTTGGTCATTTACTGAAGGTGTAGTTATCGCAAGATGTGATGGCCATCGCTCATGGGTGAACGCTGTAGCTTTTGATCCCTATACTATTTTTGTTACTAATAGAGATGATGCTAGCTTCAGTGGTAGCGAGGATGAAGCAAATGTAAATTGTCATAGAAACGGTAGCAACGAGGTTGAAAATTCCAATGTGCTATCATATCGTATCGGTTCTGTCGGACAAGATACCCAATTCCTGTTATGGGATATCGGAGAGGATATCCTCACTTCTGAAAGACACAGGAAACAGCCTCAAACGGTTACTGTTAACTCTAACACAAATAGTAATTCTAATACTATCTCTAGAGCTTCTATCAACGATTTAAAAATTGATGGAATTAGCGACTATTCAAATAAATCAGATAGCTCAAGCTCTAATAATAAATCAGATCATAGTCATAATAACAGTAATAACAGCAATAATAATAATAACAACAATAATACTTCCATTACTACTACTACTAATAATAATGGTAGTAATAGTAATAGTAACTCGCATTTGAAAGTATCACCGCACTTGTCTAAAAGTAACAGCTTCCTGAAAGATAAACCTGAAAAAGAAAAGAAAGAGAAAAAGGATAAATGGGATAAACGCTTTGGTACCGGTAGGAAAAAGCACCCTTTTGGTAAAATTCATCCGCAGAAAGAGAAAGTTGAAAGTAAAGAATCAACTTCAATTAACATACAATATCAATGCCCAAGTATTACCGAAATTCCATTAATTGAACCAATAGTAGCAAGGAAAATCGCTCATGAACGTGTTACGTCTTTAGCCTTCACGGAAGATTGTATAACATGTGCTAGCCAAGATGGTCAAATTACTATTTGGATTAGACCAAACATTGTTAGTACTCAACTGTAGAACGTGACATCTAGAGATTACACATATTTAATAGACTACTAACAATAAGGCGGCCTATTTAACTGTATGCAGTATTTATTAATGATTGTTGCATTAAATTTGCACTTTTGTCCATGAATTAGTATCTAACCTTCAATTTTTTTATTGATAATTCACTTTTTACAGTCCACTCCACTGAACACTGATCCAGCCAACGAGGGTACTGTACAATCATGTAAAAGCTCACAAACATCGCAGTCATCAATTGGAACTGTACTATAGAACAATAATCAGGTTCATCCTAATTTGTATACTTATGGTTTGCCTTTTGCTTCAATAGCTTTAAGTTTTTGTATATAGTGAGGAATAACTATTTCTAATATCATGTACCTTACAATTACAATATAGTTAATATTTGAAATATAAGATATAAGTATACAGTTGTGATTATTAGTATACAAATATTTCTTTAGGTAATACAACTTACTTTCAACTACGTGCAATCAATCCAAATGGTTTTGTATTTATAATTATCCATTATAAAACTGTAAGAAATCGCTTTTGCTAATTAGTTGAAATTATCATATTTAATTACTGTATTCTAATCAAATATACACAGTTTGCAAAAAATGATAATCATTAATGTCGTTTTACTTTCTCGACTGAGAATGAAATGCTATGTAGAGGACTTCGGCAATTTGAAAATTCATTTGTGTGATCATAATTTGATAAAGTATTGATCCTACATAACGAATCAATTTTTACAGTGTTTATAGCATTTGCTGCAACATACGAATGTCCGTTTTTTGTTACTAATTCCTAGCATTACCATAATCTTAAGATTGCAGGTGTTAATATTGTTGATAGCATGCCTGGCTATAGTTTATTGGTATAGATATGTGGGTACGTGCATTTAGTAGTAAATGCTGTATCATAATCTCTTCGTTAACATTCGGAAAACATGCTGCTTAAGATAAAAGGAGACCGAATGTCTCATTATAGCAAATGGAAAATTGATCTGTAAATGGATAAAAATGAATAATTTATCTTTACTAGATTGCTTTGTTGCTAATGTATCACCGACCATTTCATATGGTTTTAGTACCAACTCAATAAACAATAATACTGTAAACGTATCAATTTTGATTTAAAATTTTTGGTGTTTTAGACAATACGGTTTAACTAATTTATATGGATTATGAGCAACACATTAACAGAGACCCTATAGCATTCTAAATGTTATATTAGTGGAGGGCTCTATAGAATATTTCCAGCCGTGTACTGTACTGTACATTCCTCTGATAAATTTTGACATTTTGTACCCGTCATATAAAAGTATGTAATACTTTATTACCACTCGCACATTATACAGCATGACTTGAAAGATTTACGGAGTGAAAACGGTCGCAGTAATTTAAATTATATCATTCAGATAAAACCTCTGACGATTAAATCCAACACAATTCAACACGTTAGGCACATTTCTTTAGAAGAAAAGCAATAGTCAAACAAAATTGCTGAGCTAGTGATGAATCAATCAGTTACACCGAATATTGATAAAGAAATGCTGGTTTTTATAAAAAAAATAGAAGAAAAGCATACATCCTTCAACTCGCCGTTTAAAAGGTATGACCTGGATACTAGTAATTACATATCAGCAAGTTGTAAATCAGGATTAAAGTACATGCATAGGACAAATTTCTTTATAGGAAAAACCGATGAATCAGTTAGCAAAATACAATATTTACAGCAGTATGCGATCTGAAAAATTAATATAGGACATTGTTTACAATATGCTTACAAATGTAGTAAGCATGATGCAAAAAGTGTCTTTGTAACTAGACATAGGACTTTTATGTAATAAAATTTTCATAATGAACATTTAATAAATTCTAAGATATTCCCAATAATTCCTTTATTGCATGATATAATTTCAACGATTGACTTTTAGCTGTTTCCAACAAGGTATTGCCCATACATGAATAGGCCGTAGAGCATAACTTATTAACAGCAGACCGCATACTTGCGCTTGCACTTGATCCACCCAACAAATCCCAAATAACCGGTAAGACATGATGAGTAACAAGTTGAGGCTTTCGATCATACGCTGTCTTGACTAATTCTAATTTTAAAGAATGGTATTTGTGTTATTAAAAGTAGATACTTACTTAGTTTTTGACGTGTACGTTAATGTTACATTAATACATAATTATTAAACAATTTTTAAATAGGTGAATATATGTAATTACTTGCTACCAAAGGCTAATTTAATCCGCTAATGGACGCAACGAAATTTTAAGGCAATAAACGGTTATAGGCAAACAGCCGTGTATTAACTAGATGAAATTTAGATATACCAATACTTTGATATAACTTTTCGTCTATATTTTATCGATAATAAATGATAATTCAATCATTTGTTGACAATTAAGGTTTTACTTGACGATTGGTATCAGCCTATTACCAAATTTATATCTTTATAAAGTACAGCAAACAGATGGTTATATTGATTTAATTTCATGGTGAGGATTTACCTGATAATTTTTCAATCATTTCAGGTTTACTTCTTATACTACTTTGCAAAGAGGCATTAGCAAAGGATGGTATAAGTATTGTATTATCTAGGAATTATAACATAAAAATGCAAAAATAATATTCTGTTAATTCTGAATTAAAAATTATGTACGCAATAGAAGGTTTTGGCTAGGAGAAATGTTACCTAAATGTGTTACTAGAGCATGAAGTGTCTGTAAGGCAGCATCATGAATACTCTTTTTCTTTGAAGCTAAATTACTGGCTAACGCTGGCACCACAGAATTCATAACTGGGCCTAAATGCTCACGAAGGCGAGGAATCATTGCTTGAAGTGCTCCTAGTGCTTTAATATTAACCTTAATGTAATAACAGTATAAAGTTAATTTGGTTGAAATTTCTATTTTGACAACTGTTAATTTCCGTCATTCGACTTTGATCTAAAATTCTAAGTACTTTTAATTTTTTATCCGATTTGATTATTTTTAACTGAAGTAAAGAACATATGGTTCTATTATAATTAAAATCGAAATCTACCCTGTAATCTATAGACTACTTGTTTTCAAAGCTCATTAACTCATGCATAATTATTATCAGTCTTACCTTGCTCATTGAGTCTGTTAATCGCGGAGTAAACTTATCAAAGACCTGTATAACATCGCGTCATCATTAATGTAAGAAAATAAATTTAATCGCAACAATTAATAATCTTGAAATTAGGCCAAATAGGCATCACTAGATTCTGTAATATTAGTTATTGCTGGGAGCCCACCTTTACAATGTGTGACGCAAAGGAAGATATATTACAGGTATTGACATAACTGACAAGTTGCTCAATTGCGGTTGATCGATCTGTCCAACTTTGGGATACTAAATCATCTAGCATGCCATCGGGTAGATCAAGTTGCGATTCCTGTCTTGCTGTTCGATTTGGAGAGCGTTTAGTTCGAGTTACTGATGAATTTCCCGGTGATTGTGCATCATTGCTGTAAAATAAGTAAGAACGGATGTAGACATTGAATATAACCGTTACGAAACCTTAATTGCTGCTTCTCGATGAAAGTTATTCTTACCCGGCCGAACCAAATCTGCTTAAGCGTGAACCATCTGTGACACTTCCACTAGCTTGTGATTGCCGTTGCTTAGCTGATGGAGTATCGGTTGGCTTGCTGCCTAATCCCTATAGATTATAAAATGCATGGAATTAATGCAATGTTTACTCTCTAGGTTATCGTATATCAGTCTGTATCAGTCTAAATTAGCTTGTTGATAGCTTAATACACTCATAAATTAGATTACTGTCAGCATACCTTCGTACTAAGAGTTTCTGCAATATCCATTAAATGGCGGGCTTTAGAATCTGGCAATACTCGCCTAACATGTTTTTCAAATTCTGGATGTGGTATTAACTTACAGATGATTGACTTCGCATAATACCTATACGAATATTAATAAAATAGAATAAAAAATTATTTTAATTGATAAAATATAGCAAATACTATAGAATCCAGCACAAGCATCAGACAGTTAATGCTACGATACCTTGTTTCCGAAGAGCCTTCACTTGTAAACTTTTCAATGACAGGGATTACCTTTTCTGCAATTTCTCTCGGCCCACCTAGTAATCGTCCAACTCCTAACCTCTCTATTGCTGGCTCCAATAAGGCTGCAGTCGCTTTTCGAATAACTGCGTTCTTATGGCTGTATTGTGTTGACAAAGAATTGAAATAATTTAGTGGTTATGCTTAACTTTATGAATTGGGAAATCATTGAAATTGAACAGTTACCCAGAGCCTTCGTTAATAAGGGTAAAAACGCATTTTGTTGGCGTTACTTTAGCAACCATCGCTTTTAATGCTTTCTCGGCATCATCCCATAAAAAGACGTTGGTATCAGAAGCTTTACATATTAATGTTTTAGTGGTGAGATCAAGATCCTATCGATGAAGCCATAGCATGATATTAAATTCCAGCGCAACAATGTAAATAGACAAACTCTTTTTCAAATTAGTCTTTCTATCGAAATTACCATACCTGATCCATTTGTTTGCCCAAAACGTTAAACAATTCTTTCAAGCATACACAGGCATTCCGTACAATCTGTGAACGTAAATTCTTGACCTAGAATCAATCAATCATCAGTATTAGCAGATATTATCGGAATTGTCTACATCGTGAGTTAAAAGTACGCTTAGAACGATTTCAACAAGCTGTTCTACCTCGCTGACTACAGGAACAAGAATACTATGAAGTTGTGGAGTTAATACGCCACTGTGATGTTGGCATAGTCTTCGGATAAGTGTAATTCCTTTGTGTTTTGTTTCCCATTCTGGATTTGCTATATTCTTTAATGCATCGCGCAAAGCCGCTTCTGGATTGCTGACAGGCTTTAACTCTTCAACCGGAATAACGGTATTGCCGTCTTTGACTGCAGAACTATGTGATACAGCAGATGTTCTCTGTCGTCCGCTAGTATCGTCGGAAGGTGCTGATTCGTTGGCTTGATTAGATCTAACGGCCAAAATCAAATTATACGATCAATTATAATCTGTGTACTTGCTTATACGACATGAAAGTAAAATCAAGTTTTTTCATCTTACGCGTTTTTTGTTAACGTCCGAGCTCCTACTGCGTGGCCGTCTAACGTACTAGGTGCTGCGTAAGTGATAGTGTAAAAGAAGGGAATAAAATCGATGAATATCGTTCTTGTAATCGTTAAGGAAAGGGGCGATATTGATTGAAAAGCTTAGGAAATTATGATCAAGATTTCTAGCTACCCTACATGTCGAAATTGACAATAATTGTAAATGCATCTCTATCGGTTACCTTGTGTATCGGATAAGCGAGAAGAATGTTGGTCTGCTTTTCGTTGTCTTACTTTCTCAAGACGAGGTTGTTCTCTTGCTTTCAAACGTTCTTGTGTTACCTTTGATAATGTAGTACTGACTGCTGGTGATTCCATTTCGCCATCTTGCGACGAATTTCTCATGCGTTTACCAACGAGCGCTGACGGCATGTTACCGGTTATGTTTTTATCGACCTATAGCAACAAGATTGCAAACAACGACGGTGAGCGAATGATAAATCATTTTGTAATTGATCTTTTTGAAATATCTGAGTTGCAAAAGGTAACATTTTTAATCACCTGTTGGACACTATTGCGCCTACTATCACTGCCATTAGCAGAATAATTGGCCATAACACTAGACGATGCGCCTAATTTATTTAACATTTTATGGCCCACTACCATAACATCGTCTTTATCTTGTAACGATATGGACTCTGGATAATCTTCGCTAGAATTTTTATGGGATGGAGTTATTGTTTCATCATGCAATTGTAGTTTCCTTCTTGGATTGAGTTTTTTATTACTAGGTGAAGGATAGGTTTGTAAATTATCCTCAGAGTTGCCAAAATCGGCCATAAAATGAAGATAGGAATCAGTATTAGCTAGTTTTTTAGCTAAAGCTGGAACAGGTGGAGAACTGGTCCTTGATGTACTATCATCGCTGCGATTGGAAAGGCTACTGGGATTTTGTGAAAGTTTTTGTTCGCCATAGGATGCATTAGAAGCAATATCATTAGAAGTAGTATTCGTAAAATAGCTCAAATTTGATCCAGTATCACTTAATTCGCCGCTATCGTGAGATATTTGTGATCGTACACCTGTCCAGCTCCTATTTCATAACATAGCAATTGTTCGTTTCGTGTTAATAACGATATGTCATAGAATAAATTGGAGTGGCGTTGCCTTAGGTACAGGATTACTAAAATTTTAAAAATATCATTACACCCTTCAAAATCGATACTAGCCTATCATCGCCATCTTGCAGCGTCGACCCCAAACCGCTATCAACAACCTGTGATATAGATGATTTTCCTGTTTGGCTTCGAGTTGATTCTGCATTGGACCTTCTTGAATCTATATCTCGATTAACCTGCAAGATATTATTTTAAAAAATAGTAGCAGGATTATTGAACCGATAACACTTCGGTATCGCTTAGTTTTGATTGCAAAATTGCTAAGATTAAAGATTTGATATTAATAAGAAGGCAAAGAATTGACAAGCTTAGATAAGTTTGATAAGAAATTTAAAGTACAAAGTGGTAATAGAAGCCACGTCTAATGACTATAAATATCTCTACGGGTAGCTACTGGAAACTTGTGATGCAGTTTAAATCATTAACGGATGCAATATAGATTTCATTACGATGGTTTCGATTCCTTATTTTTTTATGTTAAAATAACGTCTTAGCTCTAAGTCAACTCAAGGATAATAATGAAAAGCTCAAGGTTCAATTGGAATAGTCGTAAAGCGCCCTAATATCAATTTTACATATCTCAGCCTAATCCATGTTATTAGTGGCTATAATACTAGGCCAATGTTCTAAAAGGAATGTATTAATTCTGTAGACTTACATCAGATGATTTGGATTCCTTGGCAGGAGTGTCGTTACCTGCTAACGCATTACTTCCTGTTTTAAGAGATTCTTGGCTATTAGTATCATAGTGCATTTTTTTTAGCTGTTTTTTACGCCGCTGTGCAGAACGAGCTAACTTTGGTTTCATAGGTAATGGTGAGGAATCTTCTGCTTGCTCATGACTGGATTCGCGATCTAAAGAGTTTACACGATTTACATCATCTTTACTATCTTCATTATTCGTCATTTTAGGCCATGTACTAGATAAACTAAGGCCTTTAGCTGTAGAATCGGTTATTTCACTCAATTCATTACTAGGTAAGGATGGATAGAATAGTTCATTTGATGTTGTTTGTCCATTTCTATCCACTAATGACGATTCGCCATCCTGAATAAATAATTTCTTAGCACGAATACTAGTAGTGGGTGATTTCTTTCTGTTTTCATGCCCTAACGATAACTTTGAGTGTTTCTCCAACAGGTTTTTGTCTTTAATTTTTCCACTGCTATCAAGGCTTGAATGATGCTGCAATAAATCAGAATCACTTTTACTATCCTCGTGGGAATCCTTGAATAAATTGGTAGGACTCTTTTGTCCAATAGGTGCCAGAGGTTTAACCATTCTAATCTAAAAGTTCATTTAAATGAAAAGATCTAATTATTATAAATACTTTCCATATACAGTGACGATAAAATTACCGATGATAATTATAATTGGTACGTCTTTGGAGAAAAAACGTAAAAACATGGCTTGGGCATAAAATTTAACCTTAATGTATGACCTATTTTATGATAGACGATTATAATAGTTGAAAAATAATGAAATCGTAACTAAAGAAAAATGCAATCTATTTTTTATAGTAACTAAAGCATGAAGTCAAAATCTTGACAAAAATCGATGGACTTGTTCATTATCATTATTTTTGCAAGAATATACTAGAGAAGAGTCTACATTGAAAAATCAGAATTTTACTTTTGAAATGGTATGATCGGATGCTTGTATTAAAAATGGAATCATATTTTACATAATTGATGCCGTCGGCTATACAAGAATCAGTCTTAGCTCAAGCTATGAAAACCGGATGTTGCTGTCAAAATCTCATTAGCGCCATGACAGACTATTTAATTTAATGAATTGAACTAGTTGTAAACGCAAAATTATTAATCGATAGCCATTCCTTGAAGTCTGTTTTATGAAAAGTCGATTGTAGAAAGCTGGACAAAAATTCCCGTTTGATGGATTGAAATAATTATAATTGCAAAATTGTTTAGTTAATAATTGATGAATTAAGAGTTGTAAACACAAAATCATTCGTTGACAGCTAATCATTAAAATATATTTCATGAAAAGTATATTATAGAAAGTGGCATGAAAACTATTCTGTAATGAAGTTGCTGCAGTGAAGATTCGTAATGTCCATGATATAAAAGCTGTCATTCTCAAATTATTTAGTACTATGGCTAAAAAAATTCATGGGTATTTTCAACTCCAATATAGGATGAAATAAAAGAAAAGGCTAACAATAAGTATTAATAAATCCTATCCATTATTAACAATATTTTAAAAATAGTTTCTTTAGCAAGATCGAGATCCTTTAGTCTAGAATAGGGAATTTAAGTGACAAATGGCAAAAAAGTAAAAATCTGTTGTAACCTTGATCAATAGTTAAGTACATCAATATCTCCTTTGAATCTATTCATATTAGTTTCAAACTTCTCTGCAATAAAATAGACAGTGATACAGTATTTAGTCTAAAATAATAATAATACTAGTCTGGAAAGAAGGAAATTTAAGCCTATTCGCACGGATAAATCCCGAGTTTTTAATAACTGTCTGCTTTAATTCAGACTTTTAAAACTCTGCAATCTAATAATAAGACTCGTATATATTGATCGATTCGATCTGTTTATAACTACTGTATGTTAGATAGTGTTATGGCGATGCTTAACCAAAATAAATACAAGCATTAAATCATTTTATCTTTCTGTTACTCATAAATGAAATTATTAGCTCATATACGATATCCTTTAACAAGTATAGTCATAACCCGATAGTATTATGGCGAGCAAAATACTCTGTATTTTCTTTCTCATCTCTCTCACTCAAAGAAGACAATTAATCCATAGCCACTAACATTAAGGGTTAAAACAACGCTAGTCTGTAAAAAAATAGCCTGATTAAACTTATCACTGTGCCCGTTATAGAAAACTAATTGTAGATTCACAGGCTAAATTTTATTCTCGTTCCATCTAACTGAAAGGAAAAAGTCAATTGCAACGATAGAATATGAAGAAACACTCAACCGTGAACATTAAAAGAAGGCTAGTCTATGACAATATAAACTAAACTCTCGATATGCTCGTTTTAGGAGATAATCTAGAGATAACGACTTAAATTAATGCCGTAATATCATCCCAACTCGGATAAGAAAGTCGATCTCAACGAAAAAAAGCAAGTGTTATAGTAAGATGAACAAACTGAATCATCAGGAAATTATTGATATAAATTGTCCTAGTTTTACATATTTGCCCAATTGTGGTATGTAAGTACACAAAGATAATGTACAACAACCGTAATACTAGATGTTAATTAAATAATCTGGAGATATAGAGGCAAGCCAACATAAACGATGTAAGTTAATTAACAAGTTTCAGGATTAAAGCCAATGTTAAAGTAACGACGTATTAATTAGAGCAAAATTATCTTGTTGTCGACGTCCGATGCCCAATCATCGTTAATTAACTTTATGACGACTATGCTTGATCAACCATAGTATTTAAAAGAGGATTATATTGAATTTAAAAGAAATGATAATGTTATAGTAGCGAGATATTAACTAGAGCAAAATTTATCTTGTTCTCGACCAGGATCAATGAAGTCCGATACCTCAATCATTCTTAATTAACTCATGACGACTATGCTCGATCAGCCGTAGTATTTATAAGAGGATTATGTTAGATTTAAAAGAAATGACAAAAGCATCGCACAATTGGCCTATAAATCTTATAAAAAGAATTATCTGCCTTTCTTCTGAAGCTAAAAGCAGCAGGTAGATCATTCCATTAATTAAGCAACTTTTAGATTTAATAGAAAGCGATAACATGATTGTACATAGTTATTTAGGAGTAAGTACCCGCGTAGGCACTTGTACCAACAATTGGCTCATGAATCTTGATGAAACAATTCTTTCTTCTACTGTTAAATATATTTACTACTAAATCAACCTCCAATGTTGGAGTTAGAATATTTCTTAAATCAAGCGTAGCCAATTTTTACATGTGGTATAAAGCGATAAAGTGATTAAATGTAATTATTGGCGACTAAACAGATGTACGAAATCATTACATTAGGTGTACATGGATTTATCATGATGTAATCGAAATTTTCTCTTCAGACATTCTCTTAGCAATCGAAGTCATATCGATAGCCGCTTTTATAGCTGATGCATAGGGTAAACCTTTAATTACATTCACACAGGGATAAATTAGAATTGCGCTAGTATGCATTTCAGTGTGAATACTATATGCGATAGACTTCAAAAGGATGTTTTATAAATCAGTGAGAATATGCTTAATTTGTTACTGAAAGTGCTAGAATTATAAACGGCTGTCCTTAGAGTTCAATCATTTTTATTCTTCGCGGTAGTCTATAATATCCTACTATGGTTTGATTAAATCTTTTAAAATTAATTTTTTCATGAATAAAACCAACATAGTGCAATGCCACCTTATTTAGTGAGAGACAGTGGTAAAGTTTAGATTATCTTCTAGCTAAGCAAATAAAGTATGGATTTTGTTATAAATCTCCTTGGAGAAGGAAAGTAATAGTGAAAAATATTCGTATAGATTGATATCATTTCTTACTCATATTACTATCAATTTTTGTAGCAGTACTTAACATTATCGTAACTGTTCAATAAATTACTAGTAATTAGAACTTATTATACAATGTATAACATTCAATCTTTATTGCTAAAGATTTGTTTTAATTGTTGAATATTATACGTAGTTTCTCCGATCTATCAATTCAGATCATTTCCTTATAGTAAAAATTTGCTATTGCTAATTCTAATTAATATTATTTTTTTCCTCAATCAGCAAGTATTATAATGATGTATTGAAGTTACGATTTCTAACATAGCGAAATTTTTAATGATGACGAATTTCAGTTGTCATTGTATAATTTAAGCCGTGATAAAGAGTCACGCATAAAAGTCATTTTATAGCCCTAAAAATTAGTTAAATCTTAATAAGTTATTAAAGTTATTGTATTCAAACTAGTGCATTCCTCTTCATCATCACATCGAACGATGGCGAATTTCCAACTGTAATTTTATAACTTAAGCTGTGATAAATTGTTACGCATCTAAGCTACCCGATGACCATTAAAATTAATTGAGCTGTAACGGATTATCTATAATAAGATAATAAAACTATTCCAATTGGTACATTCTTTCAATATCACGTTCAACGATGGCCAATTTCAGCCTGTAATTTTATAGTTTAACCCTTGTTAAAAAAATCACGCTTACAAGTTACGGTACATTTTCTTCCAATATCAAATTTAACGATGGCTAATTCCAGCCTATCGTTTTATATTCAAGCCGTGATAAATTTACCACGCTTTTAATCTATCTCACAACCCTAATAAACAATTGATTTTGAATATATTTTTACAATATCATAGTGAATTGGCACAATATCTTTCAAGATCAATTAAGGGATGGAGAATTTCAGTTTTTCCTTTTATTATATATGCCTTGATAAATGCGCGTAGTTACGCATCTCAGTCCCTTCGTAACCATGAAAAAATTACGATATTATTGTATTTTAAAGGATTATCTGCTTTCCTGTATTTAAACTATTTCAAGTAGTACATCCAATATCATGGTATAATTGAAAGTTATGTTTAAACAAGATCAATTTCCTTCCACAATTCATTTTATACCGTAATTAATACTGTGACAAATAGTTACGCTTATTAGTCATGATAGCTATTAAAATGAAAATTACAGTATTGGATTTTAACGGGTAGTCTTGATACATCTACGCATTGTCGGTATACACTATACTGTATTTAAATCATTTCCAATGGGTATAATCCCTTGAATAGTGTAGGATAATTCAATAATGATGACTAATCCTGAAAACAAATCTGTGAAATAAGACTAAAGGAAAATAAATACCACCCAAATAACCTAAAAGATTGTGAAGTAGAGTAATTGATTTGGCTACATTGATACATGGCATGCCCTTCCCACCTAAAACCTTATCGTCAAAATTGAAGGGTTTTACTTCAATCATATGAAAATTGTTCAAAACGATCATTTAAAAAAAATTAAACTGTCGAATTAAACGCAACATAAACCAAATTTATCTGTGTTGGAAGTAGAGTAAGAAATCTTGAACATTAATGAATATTTCTACCGGTACTCCAAATCACGCCTGATAAACTGCTGGGTTAAATATTCAACTTACGTCGTCTAACGATGCGTTGCGATTTGTTTTGGGTTTTTCAGGCGATCGTGGAAAATTATTGACAGGTTCCCAAGGTAGACGAGATATTCCAGCACTATGATTCCTTCGGCCACTATTAACGCGTGGATTTTCCGGTGATGATATTGAACAATTAGATTGAGATCTTTCGTAAGGATCAGGCCCTTCTCCTTGTAATATCCACATAATATCGGCTTCCATATTGTTGTCGCGTTTACCAGTTGATTTCGCCGATGTCGGTAAGGCATGTGGATAATGAACAAGATCATCAACGCGAGCTAATTGCTTACGATTAAGGCGTGTTGTCACAACACGACATAGGCCAGGAATATTTTGATTATTTTCTATTTTTGTAACAATTGCCATTAATTCACTACGCCGACTATGGCCGAATAATGAAGCTAAAACCGCTATGGCTTCCAATGCTGCTTGACGTACACGACGTGTTGGATCAATTAGTGTCGGTAGAATAACTTGGGCTGTTGCTGTTAAATCGAAGTCAGTACGTGGATATAATGACATAGCAGCAATGTAGATATTTAAAATTTCTTCTTTACGACGTGGATTATCGTCATTTAAACTGGTAGCCGCAATGTCTAGTATCGTTTTAGGTGATGATTTCTGTATCAAGCAGAGGATCACTTTTAAACTTTTTTGTCGCATCACAGTATTACTGAGAGCGCCTAATTTATTAACTAAACCGCGAGTGAGTATTTTCAACGCTGGTCGAATAGATATATTTAAATTTCGAATAACACTATGAAGGATATCATAAGTAGATAAGACTATCCTAAAGTTAATATCGTCAAGTAAATGAATTAAAAAATCAGCAAATCCTTTAAGATGCGATCGTATTTTTTGATAATCGTAAAGGCCAGAAATAAGTGAATGTAATTCTTCGATGCCCTTAGCTCTCCATTTATATTCATGATGTTTAGTATATTCAATAAGATGAGATGGTATAAAACCAAATTGTAAGTCACCTTCATTATTTTCATGTTGAGAGTTATCGTTAAAATGATGACCTGGAGGAATACCATGTTGAGGTGGCGACCCTCTACTAGCATCATCATGATATTTATGACTATGAACGTTATTCTCTACTTCATCTTCATCTTCTTCTCCTACTTCGACATCTTCGTCTGATTCCTCATCTTCTTCTTCTTCTTCTTCTTCCACTTCTTCTTCTTCTTCCACTTCTTCTTCTTCTTCCACTTCTTCTTCTTCAACTTCTTCTTCTTCTTCTTCTTCTTCTTCTTCTTCTTCTTCTTCTTCTTCTTCTTCTTCTTCTTCTTCTTCTTCTCTTACTTCATCATCTTTTGCTTGTGTGTTATTATCGCCATGATTCATGTTATTACTTAGTAATGGTTGCTTACTACTATTACCATTGGATTTATGATTTACAGAAATTGGATCGTCTTCTTGAGTAAGAGGCGACGATGGATCAGCATGCAGATTGGTTAAATTTTTATAATACAGTCGAAGACGATTAGGCAAACGTTTAAGATAAAAGGTAAATTTCTCTTCACCTATTAAACTACGAATTTTCTCTACACCTAACATAGGAGTGGTAACATCGCCATCAGGATCATTTTGCAATTGGACCATTAGCCCAAAAAATAGCTCGTACATATCGTATTGGATAAAATCATGCGTTAATAGCACCGGTAATGCAGCTATACACTCTAATCTTAATCTAGGCATATGACTACAAACTCCATGTTCTGCTAGCATGTCAAGAATAGATTGGACATGAGAGGTCGATTTCATAATCATATGGATTGTAGCAATGGCTGAAGTTTTAATATTGGCTTTGCTATGGGCTAAGTTCAGGATTAACGGTTGTATAATAATTTCCAAGTGATTGTCGATATAGGCCGATTGGCTCGGATAAATATCGCCTATCAATTGTATCGATTCCAATCGAACACTCCATGCATCAGTTGACAAGATATTGGATAGTAAGTCGAAAAATTGAGACGGTTGAGTAATTTGAAGTCGTCCATTTTCACGGCGTAAATTATTTCGTAATTCTTTAATATATTGGACACGTTTTCTTTCGTTGGTCTCTCTCTTCAAGGCAGCAACTAAGCCGCTATCGTCCATGATTACTTCTTAATAATTGACGGCCAATACATTACATTGACATCGATAGAGGAGATGAAAATAGCCAATCATTGCCGATGCCAACACTTACCATCGGTTCATCTACGATCATATTAAAATAAAAAGGCCGGACTATTAGAAGATAAAAAGTAGACTAGACCATTGAATTAAAATGGAGAGAATTTTAGAGTAAAAGAAGAACAATTTTAAATAAGAGTTAATTAAGAAAGAGGGAGAGAAAGAGAAAAAAGAGTACATTTCTAGCTATTCTATCTCTTTCTATAGCTTACCTTTTAAGCTAATCAAAGTGTTATCTAGGGTGAACGATGATGAAATACTCTGAAGAAAATAAAACTAGTGCTAGTAAAACAAGGGCTGATTAAAACTAAATTAACTCGATGATCGATTGATTTGTAGTTGTGGATTTTATTGAAATGACAAATGAGAATAAATAACGACTCGTTTAATGGATGTTTAGTTGTTATCAGCGAGTAACAATATGGTTAAGTGATGATATTACTAGATAGAACTTTAGTCTCAATTCTAAGCTTGATGATGTTATGATGATGATGATGCTAATTCCCACTAGTTGTTGTATGCGTTGCCCTGGTAGTTTATACTAACGACCGTGAAAATTTTCCATCAGACACTAGAATATATTATTCAGAGTAAGGAAAGAATGACCAAGCACCAGACCAAATGCTATATAAAGAGTACAATGTCCAAGTTGTCGATTAATACACAATATGGATGAAAAAAAAAAGAAGGATAACCCAGACTGGCCCTTATTACCTTCTATAGACTAGAGAATACATTCCTATAATAGACTCTAGTAATGGCTACCACTACAGTAAAAGAATTGTCCTAATTGTTTCATATAGAAACGATTACGTCGGTTGCGAAAAGGGAGCGTGGTTTGAACTTTTGCCGAATAATACAAATCAAGCCATGTACCCTAATGAATAAGAATGCTCTCCATGTTATGATAGGTTAGCACTAGTGTTGGACTAGTTAGTAGTATAAAATTATATTAGCAATCTATCAAAATTAAGCCAAATAATGGCGTTATGACGAAATAACAAAATCCATTGTCCAACAACTGTTTTGTTATATTATTTTTGTGGCAAATAGTATTCAGAAGAGAAATCAATCAAGTCAAATCTTTCCCCTCCCTAGTCGTATAGTATGCTTGCAAGATGTCATATCTATTGATCAACTCAACTGAAAAGATTGGATTGATTTGGGTTTTTCTCTCTCTCACACTATCTTACAATTCATTCCATACATTGCTTCCATGCACAACAGGATATCATGACATGCCACTCCATCAATGATATTTGTTATCGATACTGATCTATAGCATGTATGGCTTTAAAGTATTTCCAAATTGATATTAGAAAAAGAAGGGATAGCTTGCTAAGGCAGAATCAATAAAATTAGCCAATCTTGGATAGGGTAAAGTAGAAACTGGTAATAATCACTAGTATGATAGCAAGATAGTAATCGATGCAATTAGATATGGAAGAGCATCATCTACTGTAGGATACGAATGGATGCCAAAAATTGATATTAATCCTCTTCTGATAGAATGTCCATCTGAAGAGAAATAATATCATGAGATAGAAATTCAGGTGACAAGCAAAACTCGCCCATAATCGCTATCTAAAAAAATTGCAACAGGCTAACTGTCTATTACTACAATCCAATGTTGCTACAATACATGCTCATCATCAATGTATATCAGCTAAATTTGCTAATTAAGTAACATGACTTAATCATGCTGGTGAAAGACAATCTAAATATTCTATACTCTGTTAATGATAACGCACTTGCTTCCCTATTTCCTTGACATAATAATATAACTATGCAAAATACTAAACAACCATATTTTGATCCTGGTCCAATCTGTCAACACAAATTATCTTAATTTGCCCGTTAAGTATCATGACCCAATCATACTGATGAAATACAATCTAAAATATTATATACTCTATTAATGATACAGCACTTACTATCCATTTCCTTCATTAACACAATATAGCTATGCAAAATAACAAAACAACCACATTTGATCATGATCCAATCTGTCAACGATATCGGGACTATCTTGTAGCACTACAATAAGACCTTGATCGTAGCGTATATTGAACTAATCAAAAATACGAGAACTATCACATTAGATCATGATCCAGCCTACCAACGATATCGAGAATATCTAGTAACACTGCAATAAGGCCTTAATTAATCTTAACCTATATCGAACTATCCAAAATACTGGAAAAATCACATTCGATCATAATTCAATCTACCAACGATGCAGAGACTATCTAGTAACGTTGTAATAAGGACTCAATCGCAACATATATCTAACTCTCCAAAATATTAAAATAACCACATTCGATCATGATCTAACGGCCGATGATGTCAAGACTATCTAGTAGCACTGTAATAAGGCCTTGATTGTTATGTATATCATGCTAATAAAAAAAATATAACCTGCAGTGGTCTATAATCTGTTAAAAAAGTGGCTAGTTTTCTATTTCTAACTATGCAGAAATTTAAAACTGACTAAAATGGTTTATCTAACTAGCGAATGATATAGCTATTATCCAGTACTGATAAATCAACATTATTATGATATAAATTTACACCCCTAAAAATTTGAATTGTACTTTTCTAATCTTGGATTAGCTTGAATCTAGATATAGTAGCCATCTAAAATAAGAATCAAAGTCGCAATCAAACTCAATAATATCTAGTATGCAGAAAAACACCAGCTTGCGAATAATGTCAATCCTATCTCACATTAGAAATGTGTCGCGTGCTAAGAATACAACACCTAAAATCATCTATAGCACGGACGATGCCACTAATTTAAGGAGAAATGTTTTTACTTAAGGCTAGAAGGATAATAAAATAATACTAATGAGGCATTCAATTAATGAAGAATTGATTTAGATTATTTAGTTCATTATATTTCCAAATTTCTTTCATCTCAATTCGTATTCGTATATGGTGCTAACTTCAAATTGGAATATATTCAAGCTCAATCCTACCCATCACGAACAATACGGAAAGAACAAAGTCAAAAACTGGTAGTTAATATCAATAGAATACCAAATTATTAAAAAAGATTTAACTTGATATTGTCTAGAATCAATAACTCAAGCGATGCATAAGTTGTCTAAAGAAAGGATAGAAAATTTTCTACTATACTGATCGAAAATTAACTACTGGTCAGCCTATCTTTGGATAGAGTTAAATTATAATTAGAATATTGATGAATTTTAATGACAAGAATTAATCATTGTTTGTTTTTCACTAAATTATTTGTTGAATTATATAGTAACTAACGATAAAAACGAATCAGTAAAATTGTTTACTCAAACGTTTTCATTAATGTTAATGCTAAATCATGTAGAGAAAAAGACAAGATGATTTTAATGCTGACATACATCTTACAGGAATATGCTATTACACTGAACCATAAAATGGTGTGAAAATAGGAACCATTGTTTATTTTTACTAAATGATTTGTTCAACTATTTACTAGCTAACGATAATAACCTTAACTAAAACTGTGAGCTAGTCAAATTCATCCTTAAAAATGCCTTCAAATAGCTATAAATTTGTATTGTCTTGAAAAAAATGGGACCTTTTTTTACTCAGGTAATAGCTCTCATCGGAATGTTCAGTAAAAGGACAACGGAAGATGTAAAATAGAAGCAGCTTTTATTTTGTATTCAATCTTTGACCGGATATTATTATCAAATTCAACTACCCCATCATCATTCTATATTAATTTCAATCACTCATCGAATATTCATCGTAGTCTTATTTGCACCACAATTAAACTTGAAAGGGGTTATAATCATACTACTACATCAATTTAAATGATGTATAGTGCATGATTTTATCATAAAAGAAAAAATGAGACGATTTCTTTACTAGAGTGCATCCAAATCTTTCAATAGTCTGATTTCTATAAATTCCTATAGCTGATTTAAACGCCCATCGCTGTTGTTGTGTTATTGTGAGATGTGCACATAGAAAACAATACAATGTTATATAAATAATTGAATATTAATTAGCAAAATTAACTAGAAGTAGTATGTGTTTCCAAGAAAAAAATGCCATTTTGACAACTTGCTCCCGACAAAATAGCGCTTCTAATAGGCATGATAAATCATTTCTTAGAATAATATACCGTATATTAAGGTATTTTACCATCTATAATAACATTGATAAGGCTGTGAACTTCAATCAATTTCTGTTGAAAATCAAAGTAATATAGTCATTTAATATATTAACTCGATATTTCTACAAGACTAAAAAGAATAAGTCAATTTTAAATACTGAAAGCTTTCGTCTTATAATGATAGAATTTAATGCTAAGCAATCTCAATTTGTTGCAACGCTCAAATCTAAACTACTGTAGATTAAGGTTATAATTGGGTTTCTAGCTAATTTAGTTTCTACAAGTCCTCTATCTATCTGTACTAAGGCTATAAGAAACATTCACATCTGAGCTAACAAACATCATTGTGTGCTCATCGATGAAAATTTCATTGCTTGCTAATGATTATTTACCCTTCACCTACCAAATCGCGTAATCTAATGCAAACCACTTTATTGATATAGAGATGAGTCATAGCTCAAACTTTTCCAATTGCATACCGTTATTTGAAAGTATAATCTTTACACCATGACTATAAAGTTTATAAGATGCAAGAGTGCTTCAAGAAATCCCATTTTAGTATTTAACCATCTATGTCAATGTTGTCCTAACAACATTGTTGGAATACTTACAAGGACTGCTGCATAAAGCGGAGCATAAGAATTCCTTCGCGTACGGTGTACATTAATTTCCAATAATCTAACAGCATACAAACACAAATCTTTTTCTACAAATTACTATTATGATACTACTCTATCTATTCAGACTTTAGGATCGACTATAAGCTGTAAACATACCAGTAGGTGCACTCATAGGATATGTT